AAGAAAGAAAGAAAGAAAGAAAGAAAGAAAGAAAGAAAGAAAGAAAGAAAGATGGCCAGGCCAGGGGCCTCCCTAAGGGATAAGCAGTATCCTGGAATTATACTGTATTTAGCACACCTGGTCCAGGAAGTCCAGCTAGGCATCAGCGCCCAGGTGGGTGAGCAGAGTACCCGGACCATTCCTTCCCCAACATGCCTTTGTTCTTCCCGAGTACCTTGCTGTGTGGCCTGCTGCGTTACTGCATCAATCTTAGCTAAGCAGCTGTACTTGTGATACATAAGTTGATGGTAGTTTGACACATGTTGAATCCAAGTCCCAAGTCGTGACTTTGCTGCATAAATTACCCCTGGCAAAGAGCCTGGGGCCACCCTGGTAAGACCCCCTCTGGAAATCTAAGAGCTAGTCTTTTCTCTCTCCCTCACTTCCAATAAGCTCGCCTATCTTTCCTATGCTTCAAGACCTCATTCCTCCGTGTTGTGGGGCCATGACCTCAGTACATCTAGCAGGTCCAGCAGCTATGTTTCTCCCCTATCAATACTACTTTCTCTACTATTATTGTATGTATTTTACTTTACACCACCAGTGTAGAGGAGGGGTTGAGCGGCTTGTTTTTCAGAGTACCCACTCGAGGCTTTAGGTGAGTGAGTTCTGAAGTCTCAGTTTACCCAGGCCATTCCCTTGGGACAGATGTTGTTGCATTATGTAGCCAAGGAAGGTCTCCAGTTGCACTAGATATTTCCAAAGCTTAACACCTGAAATCACAGATAATTTTACATTTTCTTTCTTAACTAGGACAGTCCTCTGAACTATACAAACTTCATGCCTTCAAATCCAGATCAAAGACTTTGATAATGTGCGGGTCTGAGCCACAGCTGGTTGTGGAGAATGCCTGGAATCCCAGAATCTCGGGCCAGTGCCAGGAGCGTGGGCTTTCACACCGTCTGCCTTTCACCTGGAGGTCCTCCCTAAATTTAGCACCATTGGCTCACCTCACAGAATTTGCTTGGAGGGCACCGTTGGCTACATCTGGTTTTTCTATCAAATGCAAAGTTTTCCCCAGCCTGCAGGAAAAAAGGATGCCAAAAGGTAAATGAGTGAATTCCTTCCAGACCAACACAACTCTCAGATTATACTAACCCAGGAGCAAAATCCTCCTTAGCATTTGAAAGGGCAGGCAAGGGTATTACTAAGCCTCACTTCACTGCCTCCAGACTTTTCTTACTAGAGAACAAAGAGCAAAAGCAAACACCACTTCAGACCCCTATTCACTGAAGGTTAAAAGAGACCTCCCACAATACAAAAGTCCCTCTGAAGGTCAGTTTCAAAGTGTATTGAGGAGGACGGCACTGGCAAGGGAACAAAATGTTTATCCCTACCCTCAGGCAGGCCCTTTCTGTTGTCCTTTCAGCACGTGCTTGGCATACATCTGTCAGAGTTGAACATTTTCATCCCCATTTTGCGGGTGGTCAAACTGTACTTTTCTTTGACTCTGCAGTCTTTTTCAGATTTTTGATTCCAGTTGAACGAAGAAAGCAAGACCACCCCGGGCCAGAACAGTGTCCTGGGGATTATTTATTCATTCATGCATAGTCATTACGTCAACAGATACTGATTGAGCTACTAATGTGTATCCTTGAACTGCACCAGGAAGGCGGTGATGTGGCACAGAATGGACAAAGTTGTCTTACTGCTTCGATTTGATTGGGAAGATTGCCACTGAGCAAGGAAATTCAAGCTCGCAGGCACACAAACACTGTTATTTAAATACAACTGTGATAAATGTTTAAAGGAACATGGATTGCAAAGAAATCTCACAAGAGAGTGGCTGATTTCTGTTGAGCTGTGAAGGAGGAGCTTTTTTGAAAAAATAAAGGAGTAGGTGTTAGCTATGAGCCAGGGATCACATTGAGTAGAGGGGAGGGAGCAGGGAGCAAAAGACCCTGATAAGGAAAAGAATACAGCCCAACATGTGAATTGGCAGGGTTCTAATGTGCCAGGAATCTATAGAAGAGACAGAATGAGGCTGTGGATGAGGAAGGAAAGGAGCGAGGCTTTGTATTCTGTAGGCCATTGCCTTTGGTCCCCAAAGCAATGGGGAACTAGTTATGTCCTTGACAGAGGAAAATGATCTAAGGGTTTGCAGAGCAGAGAGTTTTAGGGAGTAAGGGATTGATGTAGGGAAAGCAGTTAATGAGCTTTGTCAAAAGTCAAGAGGAGAAATTGTTACGAATTACCTGGGGATGGTAAAATGTGGACTCGAATCTAGATCTAGCAAGTCCTGTGGTAGAGCCAGGGGCTCTGAGTTTCTAACAAGCTCCCGGAGGCTTTTCCAGGTGTTCTATGTACACTTTACTATCGAAGTTTTGATCAAGTTTGCATTGGAGATAAAGAGACCTAGACAAATGTGAGACCTGTTCCGTGGAAAATGGGTGAAAAGTCACGACCTTTTGCAGTCTCTGATCTGGGTAGTTGGGTGGAAAGGGGTTCGGCTGACACCATTGAGCTGCTCAGCTCTTGTGCAACTACCTCCTTTGAGTCTTTGCTGCCAGGCGAGATTCTAAATGCTTGCCTATAGTAGGAGGTGCTTCTCTCACTGCTACAGTGCTTCCAACTGTTAATAAGTCTGTACTGTATGGGAACATTGCATATTGAGTTCTGAAGTTAAAGAGACATAGTTTAGATAGATATGGTGTTTAACTTTGGACCTTTTATATATTTTCTAATTTATTCATCTGCAAAATGGAGATAATAATAGTACCTATCTCAAAACTTATATTCTATTGGTGGAAGTGTAAATTAGTAAAGCTATTTTGCAAAGTAATTTGGCAAGATTTATTAAAACTAAAAATATATGTAGCCTAAGGCCCAGAAATTCTCCTTCTAGGTAATTCTTATTCTTGGCCAATGAACACTTTAAGAGAATATATAAGATTATTCACTGAGGTGGTTTTTATAACAAGATAGAATTAGAAACAGTGTAGATATTCATCAGGAGAAAATATGTAAGTAAGGTACAGTATATTGACATGGTAGTCTACAATGGAGTGGCTTTAACAGATGAACTAGTTCTCTATATATATCAATGTAGATGGATCTCAGAAACATAATGTTGAGTAAAAAAAAAGGAAATTGCATAGTGAGAAGCAGTATGATCCATTTATATACATTTTAAAAGCAGACACTATACTACATATTTTTGTGGATCTAAAGTCTATGAAAAGTAGATTGGAAGGACATATTAGATACAGTTGGGGCTGAGGGATAAAGGAGATAAGAAGAATAGGGGTCACATCTAGACAGATGATTATGTCATGCCTCTACAGAAAAGGAGGATGGATTGAATCAGTTCAGTTCTGAGCCTCTGCAGCGCAACCTTAGAATCAAAACAAATCAAAACCAAAACACGATGCCACTTCTTTTCTAGGACCAACTGATGTAATAGCCCCACATCTGGAGCACAGGACAGGTGTAATAAATGGTGATGATCATCCCCCTTCTGCTCTCCTTCTTGCTGTCTTTTTGATTTCCACAGGCTCTTTTTAGTACAATGATCTTAGAAGTGATACAGGGGAAATGAAACTCCCGACCTGGACGGTACCTGGAACGAGTTCGTGTTCTCTAAAACTGAAGAATGAATTTTAGGGACAAACGGAGGTTAAGAGCAGAACATTTACTGGGGAAAGAAAGCTTCTGTCTGAGAGAGGGACAGAAGTGTGGTCCGAGGGGGTTGTCCCTAGGAAGTTGTCTCTTCCGGGGACTTTTATAGAGTAAAACCAATTGGTGAGGTGGGTCTAAGGTGGAGAACATAGGAACTTGCTTAGGTGGGCAAGAGGTGGGACAAAACTATGGTCAACCAATGAGGTTACAAGCACCACTGTGCAGGTAAAATTGATTAAGTCCAGAGCCAAATGGGGAAGCGAGTCACATAGCAAGTGGGCATGAATATAGAACAGGAGTTTATCTGGTATCCAGCTGGTAGTGGTTGGATTAGTGATTCTTCTTGGCTTCCTCAAAGTGATGATCAATCCCAGATGCTTATCTTTAGGAAGGTAAGCATTTGTTCGGTCTTTGGTCTTTAGGTCTGGCCCACAGCAGGAGCATCTCTCTCTCACACAGTTGCAAAGTATCTTGTCTTCTGTGCTGTCTCCTTGAGGGCCTGACCCTGTCTGACTGCCTATAATGCTTCTATCTAATTTAGCTGCCTACAACAGAAGGATGAGGAGATTGGTGGGTACTTTTCGCTGGACCTAAATTTCTAGTTCTTATCTATTGCCTTGAAGGCTGTGAAAGCAAGCGCTTGGTTTTGAGCCAGGTACTGATGCTCACTGAAGCTACTGTAATGGTTAAAAGAGTGATCCCAGGGCCAGTGAGATAGCTCAGAGGACTAAAATACCTGCTTAGGCAAGCTTAGGCAAGTGCAGGGACCATGGCTCTATCCTTGGCATCACATGGCATGCCAGCCCTGCCCCTAGAGTAGGCTGAACCGACCACAGAGTCCAGGAGTAGTGGTGCACACCTGTAATCCTAGGCTGGAAGGGCTGAAAGCAGAGAAATCACCACCACGAGTCTTACCTGTGTAGTGAGATCCTGCACCAATCAAATACATTAAAAAAAAAAAAAAAAAAAAGAGTGCTTCCAGGAGTGTACCCAATAGTAACCTACCGACCCACCAGAAACCAAAAGGAAAAGAACATCTCACCAGCACAAGTCCTTGTATTTTACACTTTTTTCCCCCATAGTACTGGGGATTGAACTCAGGACCTTGCACTTGCCAGACAGTACTTATGCCACTGAACTGTATCCTTGATCCTTGTATTTTGCACAGGTAGCTAATATTAATCCGGATTAAACTGAGCAAAATGGGAAATTTATTGTAAAAACTTGGAAGTTTAAAAAAAATCACTGGAGTTGGGCATAATAGTGCATGCCTTCCAGAGGCTAAGGCAGGAGGGTTACAAAATCAAGGCTAGTCTGGGCAATGTAGAAACTCAGAAAGTCTCTGAAAAGGAAGAAAACAAGGTCAGGGATGTAGCTCAGTGCAAAGGCCTTGCATTCAATCCATAGCACAAAGAAAAAAATGCCTTCAGCTTTCTCAACTGAACTAAATTGGAAAACTCTCTGGGCCTTACACCTATCTAATTAAGCCATTTTCACAGCAAAGCTCTGTGGTTTGCAGAGTCCATTTCCAGGTACCAATTTCTGAACCAGTTCTGCAAGTAACTAAAAGAAGCTATGAGTCACTGTAGCTGGAAGTGGAATTTACTGGAAGGATACAAATTAAAGGGAATTTTGAAGCCAGGTCTTGGGAAGAAGACATAGGAGGACTCTAGAATCTTGGTCAAATATATACACACCTTCTTCATCTCATCAGAACAACCTTATTTCAGCCACCTAGAGTCTGTCTAAATCCTCCCTAGCGTGTATAGTTGGCTTACTTGAGGTCAGATGGAGGGACTGTTCTTGACAGACCTATTAAGACAACAGAGTCTGGGAAGAGGCAGTTTCTGAGCAAAATGTCTACAACCAGGGGGAGGGGTACAGATCAGTGGTGGAGTACTTGTCTAGAATGTGGGGGGCTCTGGGTTCAATGACGAGCACTTAAAGCAGCAACAAACAACAACAAAAGCAATAACAATGATAGCCCCTGCTTCTAAATCAAGGTAAAAGGGTGCTGGTCCTAGTTGGCTTGACTGCCACAATCAAATACCATAGACTGGATGGCTTAAATAGGAGATTGTGCTCACAACTCTGCATGTTAGGAGTCCAAGATCAGGAGGTCAATGTGGTTTCCTTCTGGCAAGAGCTCTTGGGCCGGTGACATAGCTCAGCGGACTATGTGCCTGCTTAGGCAAGCACAGGGACCTGGTTTGATGACACCACATACTGAGCTGGCCCCTCCTCAGGTGTGCTGAGCCACCTCAGAGTCTGGGCATGGTGATGCATGCCTATAATCCCATCGCTGAGGAAGCTGAAAACAGGGGGATCACTATGAGTCAGAGCTGTATAGTGCCCCTGTGCCAAATATATTTTTTTAAAAAGGAGCTCTTTTCCTGGCTTACAGCGAGTAGCTGTTTGTTTTTTTTTTT